ACATGTAAAGAATAAAGAATAAAGAAAGAAAGAAAGAAAGGTCTATTTACTGTATGTGGTCTCTATCTGGTCTCACTCTCTGGTCTCCATCTGGTCCCCTCTCTCTCTCTCTGTTCTCACTCTGGTCTCTCTCTGGTCTTTAGCCTCTCACTCTGGTCTCACTCTGGTCTCTCTCTGATTTCTCTTGTCTTGATTGACTTTTCTGAAATGTATTGAAGATGCTGATGCTGAAGCACCCACAATATTTTCTACTTTCTTGGACAACGTCAGAATGTTATAGATGTGTAGATGTGAGGAAACGCTGTCAATTATTAGAGAAGCGGCTCTAGTGACGGCTCCACTGCCACTTCTTTCAGAGAAGAAGGAAACATTTAGAATGAGAAAGACATCAGAGAAAGACCAGAGAGGGACCAGAGAGAGACTAGAGAAAGACTAGAGAGAGTCTAGAGAGAGACCAGAGAGAGAGACTAAATAGAGAGAGAGAGAGACCAGAGAGAGACAATATGAAGACTAAAGAGAGTCTAGATAGAAACTAGAGATACACAGGAGAGAGACCAGAGAGAGACTAGAGAGAGACCAGAGAGAGACCAGAGAGAGACCAAAGGGAGACTAGAGAGAGACCAGAGAGAGACCAGAGAGAGACCAAAGGGAGACTAGAGAGAGACCAGAGAGAGACCAGAGAGAGACCAGAGAGAGACCAAAGGGAGACTAGAGAGAGACCAGAGAGAGACTAGAGAGAGACCAGAGAGAGACCAGAGAGAGACCAGAGAGAGACCAAAGGGAGACTAGAGAGAGACCAGAGAGAGACTAGAGAGAGACCAGAGAGAGACCAGAGAGAGACCAGAGAGAGACCAGAGAGAGACCAAAGGGAGACTAGAGAGAGACCAGAGAGAGACTAGAGAGAGACCAGAGAGAGACCAGAGAGAGACCAGAGAGACCAAAGGGAGACTAGAGAGAGACCAGAGAGAGACCAGAGAGAGACCAGAGAGAGACCAGAGAGAGATCAGAGAGAGACCTACTGTGATCCAAACTCAGTCAATTATTCACATGGACAAATGTTGACACAAAGGGAGAGGCGGCTCTACTGACGGCTCCTCTGTCACTTGTGTCGGAGAAGAATGAATCATTTAGACTCCAATCAAGCTCGTCTCATGATTAATGCAACAACAACAACAGAGCAACGTGAGGCTCCGTACACAGCTGCATTAGCGGCTGTGTACGGAGAGACGGCTTCAAACGCAGCGGGAGACGCCTCCAGCCTCTTTCTCATCAACCACTGAAATAGAATCAAACAGTCGCTCGCTTTGGATTCTTCTGCTCAGAGAACGCCCACAGCAAGTCACCCAGATCTGAAGGAAGACCACAGGCCGTACAGATGTATAGGAATATATACATCTGTAAATATAATATATCTGTATATATATATATATATATATATATATATATATATATATATATATATATATATATACATATATATAAATGGAGGAGCTGGAGAGGGCCTGGAGGGTAAAGGTGACAGTAGTGCCCGTGGTGATCGGTGCACTCGGGGCAGTGACCCCGAAGCTAGAAGAGTGGTTACAGCGGATCCCCGGAACAACCTCGGCCCAGAAATGTGCAGTGTAGAGGACCCGAGCTTAGAGAAGGATAACCGCCCGGGGAGGGCGAAAGGTGAGAAAAAATTACATAAAAATTCTCACCTTTTGCCCTCCGCGGGCTCCTCTCCTCTCTGAGACCTTGGTATTTCTCAAGCTTTTCATATATATATATATATATATACAGTGCCTTGCGAAAGTATTTGGCCCCCTTGAACCTTTCAACATTTTGCCACATTTCAGTCTTCAAACATAAAGATATAAAATTTTAATTTTTTGTCATGAATCAACAACAAGTGAGACACAATCATGAAGTTGAACAAAATTTATTGGATAATTTAAACTAAAAAAAAAAAAAAAAAACTGAAAAGTGGGGCGTGCAGTATTATTCGGCCCCTTTACTTTCAGTGCAGCAAACTCAGTCCAGAAGTTCAGTGAAGATCTTTGAATGATCCAATGTTGTCCTAAATGACTGATGATGATAAATAGAATGCACCTGTGTGTAATCAAGTCTCCGTATAAATGCACCTGCTCTTTGAAAGTCTCAGGGTTCTGTTTAAAGCGCAGAGAGAACCATGAAGACAAAGGAACACACCAGGCAGGTCCGAGATACTGTTGTGGAGAAGTTTAAAGCAGGATTTGGATACAAAAAGATTTCCCAAGCTTTAAACATCTCAAGGAGCACTGTGCAAGCAGTTATATTGAAATGGAAGGAGTATCAGACCACTGCAAATCTACCAAGACCTGGCCGTCCCTCCAAACTTTCATCTCAAACAAGGAGAAGACTGATCAGAGATGCAGCCAAGAGGCCCATGATCGCTCTGGATGAACTGCAGATAACTACAGCTGAGGTGGGAGAGTCTGTCCATAGGACAACAATCAGTCGTGCACTGCACAAATCTGGCCTTTATGGAAGAGTGGCCATTTCTCAAAGATATCCATAAAAAGTCTCATTTAAAGTTTGCCACAAGCCACCTGGGAGACACACCAAACATGTGGAAGAAGGTGCTCTGGTCAGAGGAAACCAAAATCAAACTTTTTGGCCACAATGCAAAACGATATGTTTGGCGTAAAAGCAACACAGCTCATCACCCTGAACACACCATCCCCACCTCAGCTGTAGTTATCTGCAGTTCATCCAGAGTGATCATGGGCCTCTTGGCTGCATCTCTAATCAGTCTTCTCGATGAAAGTTTGGAGGGACGGCCGGGTCTTGGTAGATTTGCAGTGGTCTGATACTCCTTCCATTTCAATATAATTGCTTGGACAGTGCTCCTTGAGATGTTTAAAGCTTGGGAAATCTTTTTGTATCCAAATCCGGCTTTAAACTTCTCCACAACAGTATCTCGGACCTGCCTGGTGTGTTCAAAAATTAAAACAAATTAAAATGTTATATCTTTATGTTTGAAGCCTGAAATATGGCGAAATGTTGAAAGGTTCAAGGGGGACGAATACTTTCGCAAGGCACTGTATATATATATATATATATATATATATATATATATATATCTAATTATGTGTAGATGTATGGATGTATAGATGTGTAGATGTGTAGAGCATGTGCGGTGTGTGCGGTGATGCGTTGCTGTTCAGATTTTGCTCCTGGCCTCGAGCCTCAGATTTATTATTTCATTAAATCCTCATTTGCTGAGATCTGCCACAGTGATCCTGCCCCGGGGCGGACGGACGAGGGACGGCCTGCCGTGTTTTTATCATTAATGAACAGAACATTGTACTTGATCGTCATCATTTTAATCCTTTTATTAAAACAATGACTTTGTTTACACGGTTTAAACAAATACATCTCTCTTTAGTCTCTCAGTCCTTTTGAAAAAAATACTGCAAAAAGATCTAGATAAATCCACCTTTGATCTGCAGGTCTGCTGTAGGATCACAGAGGTCTACAGTAGGATCACACAGGTCTACAGTAGGATCACAGAGGTCTACAGTAGGATCACAGAGGTCTACAGTAGGATCACAGAGGTCTACAGTAGGATCACAGAGGTCTGCAGTAGGATCACAGAGGTCTGCAGTAGGATCACAGAGGTCTACAGTAGGATCACAGAGGTCTACAGTAGGATCACAGAGGTCTACAGTAGGATCACTGAGGTCTGCAGTAGGATCACAGAGGTCTACAGTAGGATCACAGAGGTCTACAGTAGGATCACAGAGGTCTACAGTAGGATCACAGAGGTCTACAGTAGGATCACAGAGGTCTACAGTAGGATCACACAGGTCTACAGTAGGATCACAGAGGTCTGCAGTAGGATCTGTCCGTGGTGCTGATCTGGATCTGAAACCACAGATTACAAAGTGTTTTCCACTGTATTGTTATTATTGCATTTCCTGTGTTCGAACTGTTTGATTCTCTGATCTGTTGTTGATGAATCCACAACTTTGTGATTTTGATAAGATAAGATAAGATAAGATTCTTTATTTATCTCACATAGGAGAAATTTACATGTCACATTTGGCATGGATAGAACACTCAGATTGTGCAAAGGGAGGAAATGTGCAAACATGTTACATGCAGGATATATATGTACAATAAAGTGACAATAATTATGTGCAACAAAAGTGACAAGTGTCAACTGGAAACAGTGTCAATAGTAGTGCAGGTTTCACACAGTGATCATTTAAAGTGACTTATTGTACAGTCTGACAGCGGTGGGGATAAAGGCCCTGCGGTAGCGCTCCCTCCTACACTGAGGGTGCCTCAGTCTTCCACTGAAGGAGCTCCTCAGCTCCTCTACAGTCCTGTGTAGTGGGTGGGAGGTATTGTTCATGATGGAGGTGGCTTTGGCTAGCACCCTCCTGTCCCTCACCTCCTCCACAGAGTCCAGGGGCCTCCTGTCCCTCACCTCCTCCACATGGTCCAGGGAGCAGCCCAGAGTGGAGCTGGCCCTCCTGACCAGCTTGTTCAGTCTGTTTCTGTCCCGCTCTGTGCTGCCCGGGGCCCAGCACACGGCAGCGTAGTAAATGGCAGAAGCTACCACAGAGTCATAAAAAGTCCTGAGCAGAGGCCTGCTCACTCCGAAGGACCTCAGCCTCCTCAGAAGGAAGAGGCGACTTTGGCCCTTCTTGTGCAGGGCGTTTGTATTATGCAGTCCAGTTTATTGTTAATGTGAACACCCAGGTACTTGAAGCTGTCCACCAGCTCAATGTCCTCCCCCTGGATGTTCAGCAGTGTGGGAAAGTGGTTTTCTCCTGAAGTCGATGATCATCTCCTTGGTCTTACTGGTGTTCAAGCACAAGTGGTTGCGCTCACACCAGTCGACAAAGTCCTTGATAACCGACCAATATTCCAGTTCGTTCCCCTCAGACACACAGCCCACGATGGCGGAGTCGTCGGAGAACTTCTGCAGGTGACAGCTGTGTGTGTCGTGTGTGAAGTCTGAGGTGTAGATGGTGAAGAGAAACGGTGAGAGGACAGTGCCCTGAGGGGCCCCAGTGCTGCAGACGACCACCTCAGACTCACAGCTGCAGCCGCACGTACTGTGGTCGGTCTGAGAGGTAGTTGATGGTCCATGCAGTGAGGCTACTGTCCACTCCTGCGTCCTCCATCTTCCCCTGCAGCAGTGCCGGCCTGATGGTGTTGAAAGCGCTGGAGAAGTCAAAAAACATGACCCTCACAGCGCTCCCGGCGGGCTCCAGGTGGGAGAGCGTCCGCTGCAGGAAGTAGATGACGGCGTCCTCTACTCCGATGTTGGGTCTGTAGGCGAACTGCAGCGGGTCCAGGGTGGGGCTGACCACGGAGCAGAGATGGGTGAGGATGAGCCGCTCCATGGTCTTCATCAGGTGGGAGGTCAGTGCTCCATGGTCTTCATCAGGTGGGAGGTCAGTGGGCGAGACACAAATACATTTCATTGTAAAGTACAGTGTCTCTGCACACAGCACACGGGACATTTTGATACAATATGTTTCTAAATGATACGATTGTGTCTGAAACCGTGTATGTGTGTGTGTTTATGTGTGTGTGGTCTTGGTTTGCACAGCAGCCGTCACTTCAAAAGAAGCCGGACAGACTGCAGAGATGGATCCCCCTCTCCCTCTCTCTCTCTCCCTCTGTTTCCCTCTCTTTCTCCCTCCCCCTCTCCCCCTCTCTCTCCCTCTCTCTCCTTCTGCCTCCTCCCCCTCCTCAGACCAGTGTCCTTCTGCAGAGCTGGAGCTGCACTCTGGAGACCCTCTGGAAGAAAACACTCTGTTCTTTCCTCTGATAAATGTTCATATTCTGAGACTGACGTCGATCTCAACATCTGAAAGACAAAAGAACTGTTCTTATAGATCTAAACAATGTGAGAGAGACCATAGAGAGACAAGAGATAGGCCAGAGAGAGAGACCAGAGAGAGAGACTGGAGAGAGACAAGAGAGAGGCAAGAGAGAGAGACAAGAGAGAGACCAGAGAGAGACAAGAGAGAGACCAGAGAGAGACAAGAGAGAGACCAGAGAGAGAGAGACCAGAGAAAGACCAGAGAGAGACCAGAGAGAAACCAGAAAGAGACCAGAGAGAGACCAGAGAGAAACCAGAAAGAGACCAGAGAGAGACCAGAGAGAGACCAGAGAGAGACCAGAGAGAGACTAGAGAGAGACCAGAGAGAGACAAGAGAGAGACCAGAGAGAAAGAGACCAGAGAGAGACCAGAGAGAAACCAGAGAGAGACCAGAGAGAGACCAGAGAGAAACCAGAAAGAGACCAGAGAGAGACCAGAGAGAGACCAGAGAGAGACCAGAGACGGACCGGCAAGAGACCAGCGAGACTAGAGAGAGACCAGAGAGAGACCAGAGAGAGACCAGAGAGAGACCAGAGAGAAACCAGAAAGAGACCAGAGAGAGACCAGAGAGAGACCAGAGAGAGACCAGAGACGGACCGGCAAGAGACCAGAGAGACCAGAGAGAGACCAGAGAGACTAGAGACAGATATTTAAAGAGTCTAGAGAAAGACTAATAAGTTAGAGAGACAGGAGAGAGAGTAAAGAGGGACTAGAGAGACCAGACAGAGAGCAAAGAGAGACCAGGGTGGGAGACATGAGACCAGAGTGAGACCAGAAAGACCCGGCCCCATGACCTTGCTATAACTAACGCAGAATATATAATGTATGAATGGAGTCTTTAGTATTTTAAATTAACAGTAACTTTTATTCATAAAAACTCAAATGTGATGTTTACACGTGGCCTGCTCTCTGGGGACACACGTGTGGATTTTACACACTGTCTCTTTAAAAGATTCATCTCTCACGATCTCGGTCCATCTCCATCTCCATCACCGGGAGACCGTTTGAGAGCAGCCCTACGCGCGCCGCTCCAGCCCTGCCTCTTCCTCCTCCTCCTCCTCCCTCCTCTTCGTCACAGCTCCACACAGCAGCACCAGGATCCACTACGTCTCTTCCCCTCCAGCACGCACGCACGCACACGCCGACCCCACAGCAGAGAGAACAGAGACATGCCACCAGCGAGCGCCTAGTCCCCGGTCCACGCTCCACACGCACGGGTGCAGGTGAGTGAGGGTCCGTGCGCGTCCTGCAGCGACGCCCCGGGATCGCGCTGTGTCTGTGGGATCAAAGTTTTCTTCCGCGGTTTGGAGGATGGATGGCGAGAGGAGAGAGAGGAGAGGGGGAGAGAGGGGGAGAGAGGGGGAGACAGGACCGTGCAGTGTGTGTGGTATCCCCGGCAGACGCGCGCTCTCCAAGCCCGTGACCTAGACTGTCCTTCATTTGGCGCAATGGGAGAAAAAGAGACAGAAAAAGGCAGAAGGTGGTTGTGACAGAGGCAGGAGCGAGCTGTTGATGTGGCCCCATGGAGCAGGAGGAGCAGGAGGAGCAGGAGAAGTAGGAGAGCAGGAGGAGCAGGAGGAGCAGGAGAAGTAGGAGAGCAGGAGGAGCAGGAGAAGTAGGAGAGCAGGAGGAGCAGGAGGAGCAGGAGAAGTAGGAGAGCAGGAGGAGCAGGAGGAGCAGGAGGAGTAGGAGAGCAGGAGGAGCAGGAGGAGCAGGAGGAGTAGGAGAGCAGGAGGAGCAGGAGGAGCAGGAGAGCAGGAGGAGCAGGAGAAGTAGGAGAGCAGGAGGAGCAGGAGGAGCAGGAGGAGCAGGAGAAGTAGGAGAGCAGGAGGAGCAGGAGGAGCAGGAGGAGTAGGAGAGCAGGAGGAGCAGGAGGAGTAGGAGGAGTAGTCCAAACCGCTCTTCACTGGCTCCCTGTGCACCTTCCTATTAGATTCTGTTATTTGTGTTTAAATGTTTGCATGGATTGGCCCCTCAGTATCTGACTGATCTGCTTGTGCCCCACACTCCGTCATGGGCTCTAAGATCAGCAGACCAGGCTCTCTTAGTGGTCCCAAGACCAGAAAGAAGTCGAGAGGGGATCGGGCTTTTGCAGCAGCAGCCCCCAGACTGTGGAATGGCCTCTGCATATTAGACTGGCCGACTCACTTCCTGTTTTTAAGTCGCTTCTTAAGACTCATCTTTTTACTTTGGCTTTTAACTCAGTGGGTTGACTTTCTGTGCAATTTGTATTCTTGTATATGTTTCTATATTATATTGTGTTTTTACTTGTGTTCAGCACTTTGGTCAACTGTGTTGTTTTTAAAGTGCTCTATAAATAAAGGAGTGTGTAGCAGATTATGTCCATGTGTTTTATGAATTGCGCTTTCCTTCTACTACTGTTATTACTGTTGTTATTATTATTACTATTATTATTATTATTATTATTATTAATATTATTATAATTATTATTGTTATTACTACTACTACTGGAAAAAAATGCAATAGTTTTATATAGAGCTTGTTTGGACTCCACACTCTCCACAAGTAATTATTCTTTCACTTCATACATTCACTGTGGTGATAAACTACTACTGTAGCCACAGCTGCCCTGGGACACACTGACAGAAGCGAGGCAACCAGTATGTGCCATCGGCCCCTCCCACCACCACCAACCATTCACACACACACCAGACTCATTCTAATGTGGGGGAATCGTCGTGCCTAAGGACACAACCACAGTTTGGCACTTTACAGCTGCAGCGCCCCACTGTGGCACCTGCTGTTCACAGAGGTCTCCCATCACAGTATGGACCGGGACCTGCCCTGCTTAGCAGCAGAGGTCTAACAGGATCTGCTCAGGGATCTTCCTTTAAATATAAAATTGGCAAAGCAAATGACTTAGTTGGGACTAGAACTGAGATAAGACTAAACCTGCTCATCAACGCTGATCTTGTCGTTACTAAGACGCTAAGCAAGTCAGGGCCTGGTCATAGGCCCATCATTCTGCTTAATCGTATTTAATCGTATGTTTTTCTCTGTCACAACATTCTGTCTGCATGTGTGCGTTTGTGTATGTGTACGTCTGTGTATATGGGAGTCTGTGTATGTGTGCGTCTGTGTATGTGTGCGTCTGTGTTTATGGGAGTCTGTGTATGTGTGTGTCTGTGTATATGGGAGTCTGTGTATGTGTGCGTCTGTGTTTATGGGAGTCTGTGTATGTGTGCGTCTGTGTATGTGTGCGTCTGTGTTTATGGGAGTCTGTGTATGTGTGTGTCTGTGTATATGGGAGTCTGTGTACGTGTGCGTCTGTGTATGTGTGCGTCTTTCTATGTGTCTGTTTCTGATGCGTGTGTTTCTGCTGCGTGTGTGGCAGCCTCACGTGTGTGTGTTCTGGTCAGCGGTGGCTCCTCATCACACATGTTAAACTGATTCTCTCTTGTTTCTTATTCACACCGGTCTATACATTGTGCCACACATATAAACTCGCCTCCATGTCTGTTGCTCTGACGATGTGTGTTATTTTTCCGCAGACTGAGATTCAAACTCTTTGTGGATCGAGTTGAATGTGACATCGCTCCGACACAGAAGGCGCGGAATCAAAAGCCATCAACATGAATTTTGTAATGAAGCAGGCGTTGGGAGGTGAGTGCTGTCAGTCTGACCAACGAGGACTGTCCAGACGCTACTGTCAGTCTGACCAACGAGGACTATCCACAGCTACTGTCAGTCTGACCAACGAGGACTATCCACAGCTACTGTCTCCTTCTCTGGGGCCGAACGAGTCTGAATGTGCTCAAGTTTATTTATTTACCACTGAAGCTGACAGGAGCAAAGAAGGATCAAATACAGGAATGCTGGACTCAAGTGGTTTCTCTGTGTTCACATTTGTTTAGGGTTAGGTCGGATTTTGTGGACATGTGTGGACATGTGTGGACAGTGGTCCCTATGGGTTTGATATTATTGCATTTATAACGGAGCAGAGAGAGACCAGAGAGAGACCAGAGAGACCAGAGAGAGACCAGAGAGAGACCAGAGAGAGAGCAGAGAGAGACCAGAGAGAGACCAGAGAGACCAGAGAGAGACCAGAGAGAGACCAGAGAGAGACCAGAGAGAGACCAGAGAGAGACAAGAGAGAGACCAGAGAGAGAGCAGAGAGAGACCAGAGAGAGACCAGAGAGAGAGCAGAGAGAGACCAGAGAGAGACCAGAGAGAGACCAGAGAGAGACCAGAGAGAGACCAGAGAGAGACCAGAGAGAGACCAGAGAGAGAGCAGAGAGAGAGCAGAGAGAGACCAGAGAGAGAGCAGAGAGAGACCAGAGAGAGAGCAGAGAGAGACCAGAGAGAGACCAGAGAGAGACCAGAGAGACCAGAGAGAGACCAGAGAGAGACCAGAGAGAGAGCAGAGAAATGGGCTATTGGGTCCCATATTGCACAATCTGACAATATTGCGCAGATGCCTGACACGTGAGGTCAGGTCAGCAGTGTTCATCAGTCTTCATTGTTCGTTGTACAGTCTGACAGCAGCAGGATGGATCTCTTTACAATAACAGAGGCCACATGGCTGGGTAAGAGATACCGTTTTCTCTGTTGGATTGTCCTGTATTTTTCAGTGATTTGAATGAGGTCCAAGGTTTGTATCCAAAGTGTGGATTTTTTTTGCTTTTTGCAACGGTATAAATGAGTGTCCAATAGTGTTGTCTGCATATCCTGGTCATAATTTTGTCACTTTGGTGCAAATTAGTTGAAAGTTAAACTTTCTGCCTAAAACCGTCTGTGAAGCGCCATCTGCAGGCGACCTGTGTTACTACATTTGAATTTTGAATCTGGCGCCATCATTGACGCAGCAGAGGCCGAAGTGACTCGTTACGTCAGCTGCCCCGCCGCTCGGTCCCGCCCCGCCGCTCGGTCCCGCCCTGTAGCGAGTTGGAGAAGGAACAACAGCGAGTATTTTCATCGATTGTCAGGTTTGCGATTAGTCATAGCATTTAGGTACATTTTAATTAGCATAGCTGTTTGTATTATTGATAATTGTGTAGTGTTAATGGCGTTGTTGTTGAATATTGTAGTTTTAGTCAAGTGTCAATCACAGCCTAGACCCGCCCAACACTCACCCCCCGTCTGTCCCCTTTAGTCCTCCAGGGTACGTCCATTTGGAGGGAGATTTGAACAGGAAATGTGAGCGACGTATGCCCAGAGGAGCAGGGTGAGAAGTTCTTTAAGGCCAGTATTTTGTGCCGATGGCTCTGAAATGCTTTTGATGGCTCCAAATGTGTGGTTAATGAATCTCTGTAAATGGAGCTCTTTTTCCTGTTGTCATGTTTTTCATGTTTTGTTTCATGTTTTTCATGCTTGTCCTCGCTCAGTCGGGCTCATGCTGGTCAGACTCCACACAGAGAGAGAATAGACGAACATATATTCTCCGAAACACTGTGAAGCGCTTCGGTTGAACTTGGACTGTAAAAAATGTTACAAAGATAAAGATTACATTTCTCATTTCTTGGGTGTTTAAACTGGTTTAAAACTCAGGACAGAGAGAATCAGAATGATTTGTATTGCCATGTGAGTAACAGAAAGTCACAGACAGGAAATTACTGGCTCTCGGTGAAAACAAGTCAAAAGTAGAGAAGAATAAAACATTTCTAAACATCTGTAAAGTTTAGCTTTTTCTAAGATTGGAGTTAAAAGTAAAGTTATTACAACCTTCAGGCTCCAAGGCCAAAGCAACTGAGCCATTGTCGCCCCAGAACTAGTGAAATGAAATCTTTCTCTTAGAGTGAGTGACGTTAAACCACTTTTTCTCTTCAAAATTAATAACCAATAATTATTTCAAACGGCTACATGAACTCACAATCCTAATTCACACAGTTGCTTTTGTAAATCCTAATGTTTAAATCCTCTCCCTGATATCAGGAGGTGTGCACGTGTGTGTGCGTGTGTGTGTGTGCGTGTGTGCGTGTGTGTGTGTTGTGTTGAAAGACCAGAGAGAGACATGTGAAACATTGTGTCATTGAAGAGTTTACCTTGAGACTTGAGAGCGAGCAGAGAAAGAGGTCTGGTCTCCATGGTCTCTCTCTGGTCTTTCTCTGGTCTCGATTTCTGGTCTCTCTCTGGGCTCTCTCTGGTCTCTCTCTGGTCTCTCTCTGGTCTCTCTCTAGTCTTTCTCTGGTCTCGATTTCTGGCCTCTCTCTGGTCTCTCTCTGGTCTCTCTGGTCTCTCTCTGGTCTCTCTCTGGTCTCTCTCTGGTCTCTCTAGTCTCTCTCTGGTCTCTCTCTCTGGTCTCTCTCTAGTCTCTCTCTGGTCTCTCTCTGGTCTCTCTCTGGTCTCTCTCTGGTCTCTCTCTGGTCTCTCTCTGGTCTCTCTCTGGTCTCTCTCTGGTCTCTCTCTGGTCTCTCTCTGGTCTCTCTCTGGTCTCTCTCTAGTCTCTCTCTGGTCTCTCTCTGGTCTCTCTAGTCTCTCTCTGGTCTCTCTCTGGTCTCTCTCTAGTCTCTCTCTGGTCTCTCTCTGGTCTCTCTCTGGTCTCTCTCTGGTCTCTCTCTGGTCTCTCTCTGGTCTCTCTCTGGTCTCTCTCTGGTCTCTCTCTGGTCTCTCTCTAGTCTTTCTCTGGTCTCTCTCTGGTCTCTCTCTGGTCTCTCTCTGGTCTCTCTCTGGTCTCTCTCTGGTCTCTGAATTGTTTTGGCGGGAGAGGGGTGTGGGGTCGGAGAGTGTTTGGCCTGTGTGTGTGTGTGTGTGTCTACGTGTGTTGTGTTATGTTGAATGTTTTGTGTTGTAATGATTTGTGAAAATGATATGTCTGCGAGTGGACAGAGTCTGTTTGCGTCTCTCCAGACTGAGATCCCTGCTGTAGAGTTACTGGGTCCTGGGTGTATAGAGAAAGAGCAGGTTTCGGTCTGTTCTGTAGCTGCTGCAGTAAATCCACAGTATTCCGGTCTGTTCCTCCTGACTCCGCAGTTGTAAAAGTGTCGGAGACGCCGTGACCTCGGCTCGGCGCGAGAGTGAGCAGGATTAGCCGAAGCTGCCATGATCCAGACAGGAGAGCTCCGAGGTGAAAGCCACACCGAGCCTCAGAGCCTCAGACGCAGCAGAGAGACCCGGGTTTATCACGGACTTTAGACCGGACTGGACCGACCCAGAGATGACGTCAGCCTCAGTGTTGTTCTGATCGTCCATTAGAGCGATCTAAAACAGACACAAACAGGAGATTAGAGCTGAAACCTGGAGCCAAAATTATGGATACACTGCAAAAAATGATTAAATGTGAGGTAATAAATGCTTAAATAAAGTGGTTTTATCTTAATATTTATTCTGACTGAAGACAAGATTCTCCGATGGGAAAAAAACATTTAGTCTTATTCAAGAACTCATTGGGGTATATTATTTTAAATCAGTCTGAATGTGCTTAAATAAAAATACATTTTGCCTTGTTTTTGCAGTCATCTTTTGCAGTGTAGCAACGACCTAGCAACCAATCTTCTCGTCTTTCATAAGCCGTGAAAGACGTGCTCAGTTTTATATGTATGTTAGCGGAATGAGCTAAACGGGCTAAAAGTGAACAGTGGACACATGTGGTTCCATATTCCCAGAGAGAGACCAGAGAGAGACCTGAGAGAGACCGGAGCAAGACCGGAGAGAGACCGGAGCAAGACCGGAGAGAGACCAGAGGGAGACCGGAGAAAGACCGGAGAGAGACCAGAGAGAGACTAGAGAGAGACTACAGAGAGACCAGAGAGAGACCAGAGAGAGACCAGAGAGAGACCAGAGAGAGACCAGAGAGAGACCGGAGAAAGATACTAGAGAGTGACCAGAGAGAGACCGGAGAGAGACCTTAGAGACACCAGAGAGAGACTACAGCGAGACCAGAGGGAGGCTAGAGAGAGACCAGAGAGGGACCGGAGAGATACTAGAGAGAGACTAGAAAGAGACCAGAGAGAGACCGGAGAGAGACCGGAGAAAGATACTAGAGAGAGACCAGAGAGAGACCGGAGAGAGACTACAGCGAGACCAGAGGGTGGCTAGAGAGAGACCAGAGAGGGACTGGAGAGGGACCGGAGAGAGACCGGAGAGAGACCTGATAGACACCAGAGAGAGACTACAAAGAGACCAGAGAGGGACCAGAGAGGGACCAGAGAGAGACCAGAGAGAGACCAGAAAGAGACCGGAGAGAAATCAGAGAGAGAGGCCAGAAAGAGACCAGAGAGAGACCATAAAGAGACCATAAAGAGACCGGAAATGAAAGAGAGACCAGAAAGAGACCAGAGAGACTAGAAACCAGAGAGAAACTAGAGAGACTATAGAGACTAGAGAAACACCAGAGAGAGAACAGCAATTTTTGGCTTGTTTTTCATCACTTTTTGCAGTGTAGCAACCAATCTTCTTTTCTCTCATAAGCCGTGAAAGACTTGCTCTGTTTTATATACGTTTTTTAAGTCCAGATGTTTGCAGGCATCAGTTCAGCAGTTCAGATTATGTGGAACATTTAAATACTATTCATGAACGGGAAAGTTAACAAACATTATCTGATACACGTGAAACGACCACTGAACAGGGACGTGAGAAAGGCCTCACACGACAACATTCACAGGACCAATCTGAAAATGGGTCCAAATGAGGGTATAGCAACAACCTGGCAACCCACAGAGCCAATCGAGAGCAGCGCTGGTCTCGTTGTGTTCACTCCCTCACATCAGTAAAACTAGGACAGCTTTCAGAACCAGATGCAGTTTAGTCCCACTGTACTTCCCCTTTAAGTTCTGGAGGGTCTTTTGTGTCTTGGGTTTGTGTTGGCGAGACTTCAGGAGAGTGTGAGAGATCAAAGAGACTGATAAGTGTGTCAGCAGATGCTCTAAAGTGCTGCTCCTGGAGAGACCAGAGAGAGACCAGAGAGAGACCAGAGAGAGACCAGGGAGAGACCAGAGAGAGACCAGAGAGAGACCAGAGAGAGACCAGGGAGAGACCAGGGAGAGACCAGAGAGAGACCAGAGAGAGACCAGAGAGAGACCAGGGAGAGACCAGAGAGAGACCAGAGAGAGACCAGAGAGAGACCAGGGAGAGACCAGGAGAGACCAGAGAGAGACCAGAGAGAGACCAGGGAGAGACCAGAGAGAGACCAGAGAGAGACCAGGGAGAGACCAGAGAGAGACCAGAGAGAGACCAGAGAGAGACCAGGGAGAGACCAGGAGAGACCAGAGAGAGACCAGAGAGAGACCAGGGAGAGACCAGGGAGAGACCAGAGAGAGACCAGAGAGAGACCAGGGAGAGACCAGGGAGAGACCAGAGAGAGACCAGAGAGAGACCAGGGAGAGACCAGAGAGAGACCAGAGAGAGACCAGAGAGAGACCAGGGAGAGACCAGAGAGAGACCAGAGAGAGACCAGGGGAGAGACCAGGGAGAGACCAGAGAGAGACCGAGAGAGACCAGAGAGAGACCAGAGAGAGACCAGAGAGAGACCAGAGAGAGACCAGGAGAGACCAGGAGAGACCGAGAGAGACCAGAGAGAGACCAGAGAGAGACCAGAGAGAGACCAGAGAGAGACCAGGAGAGACAGAGAGAGACCAGAGAGAGACCAGAGAGAGACCAGAGAGAGACCAGAGAGAGACCAGAGAGAGACCAGAGAGAGACCAGAGAGAGACCAGAGAGAGACCAGAGAGAGACCAGAGAGAGACCAGAGAGACCAGAGAACCCAACCAGGCCTGACACTAACAAATAGGGAGTAAGGGAAGATAGTAATGTATCGAAACGTGGCGGGAGGCGCCGAAGAAATATTGGTAGGGAGATGAGGAAGGGGTAGGGGGGACCCTCAAGCGACAATCACCTACTACGCCAATGAAATTTCTACCTGTCAGAAGATTCTTCTCCCAGAAACGACATCATGACTAGGTCACCTCCTCTTCGCCACGGAATCAACCAGAAGACAGGAGGACGGGAAGGACGAAAAAACTGACGGAAACCTATAGAAGAAAAAGCGCTGATTGGGTGCAAAGAGAAAACATACTCCTCATGTCACGACAACTAATGACTTTTTATTAACTGCAACAATTCAGCTTCGGCCATAATAAACACCATCTCATTATCTGATGATGGACGACAAGCATACGGTGAATAAAGATTTGCATTAGAGATTATAGTCGCTAGGAGCTTAACAATGGACATGACCTATTCATAAATTCCAGCATGCACCATTTTAATAATTGTGTTTGCCAAAGGGCAAATTCAAAGTGCTATGCCAGGCCAACAGACATTTAAGTTTAACATATTTATAGTCAGGAGAGAGAGAAAAATCTGCCGTCTTCGAAAAGCAGAAAAAGGGAAATAAGAATGGAGGGAGTAGAACTAAAACACTGTTGTCTGAGCACAGACACAATGTTCACACGAGCAACACACAATAACAATGTAAGCAGGTGAATCTATGATCCGTACACTAACAGATACCCACTACTCGTATACAGTGTACGACTCTTACAAAGGATACATACACTCGTTAATCTGTCAGATCATCCATATCATTACTAGAGGTAGGGTCACTTAAGTGCACATAGAACTTTACATAAAAAATAGGTCATATTGCTCCGCCAGCACAGAAATTAGCTGTACCACCCCTAAATCAAACAGCTTAGTTTTTATATCCAATATCTCCCGATTTGCTCTCATTCACCCGCCAGAATTTACATCCTGATCTCTCCTCAGCCCAGACATACTACGTGCGAAAGCAGAGGTATTAGGCAGATCACGAATTCTTAGTGAGGGAGAAAAATCAATGACAGTAATACACTTCAGGAGAAAACACGTGGTTGAGGTGATTCGGATACCGGAGCACGCACACCATCTCTACCCAGAGTACCAAATAATCTTCTCTCCAGCATGACAAGCAGACACAACCAATTAACAGCATCGTACAACTCAATAACTAAAGCTATTAAGACCCCACTCCTACACCTCAAAATTTATGTGTGTCCAGCGCGGGGCAGCGTAAGAGGACATGAGGCCTGAGACGAGCCTGCTATGATGGAATCTAATTCTTATACTAGACCACATCTGAGTATGTTTATTATATCCACTCATGCTTCACTAAAATCTCATATGCAGCAGATGCGTCTCCGAGACTACTCACAAATTATGTAAACTCTCCAAGAGTATTACAAAGCTTGATCGTTGGGGGGACATGCGGACCCGGGAACAATAGGCGAACATGAGGAACTGAAATTCGTCAAACCTCTTGGAATCTTGTGGCAGAGCAGACCTGTGGATAAAAATACCAAAAGTACATTCAAGATTATATTCAATATTAAAACATCATAAACAGGCAATAGAAAAAATACTCACATAAGTGTTGACAAATAATGTGATTAAAGAGACGACAGACAAAGAAATTAAAAATTTCAGTGATGCATTCTAACACTTGATAAATAGGACAGATTGTCAAATTCCGTAAAACAAGTGATCACTTTACGCGGAATTCACGAATACCCTACTTGAAGCAACTAAAAAGGTATACTGTAACGTAAATCGTCTATCACACTATAAGGCACAATTACTATATACAGAAAACCAGAAGTTTCACCAAAGTTCGCTTTACAAAGTTTCAGGAGTGTGATTCCATCCGTCAACAACAGGTGATGACAACGAGCTGACAACAACAGTCATCAAAATCCTACCGAACCGCATGAACACGTCAATACATCGACCATCTAACATCTCACTCCATTCAATACATAAGCAAGACCTATTGAACATATAATTCTAGTGCTACGGGGAAAACCGGAGACGGGCGACCCAGTGAAACCTACGCAGGACCCACAATTGAAGGAGCAACTGCCCAAACTCCCTCACTACAAAGGCCCCTGTATCTAGATCCGGGGGGGGGGGGGGGGGGGGGGGCGGAGAAGAATTCAGCCCAGGTACCTTTCTATGACTCGGACACCATACAGTGGACAACGAAACTGTATTTAGAAAAACTTGTTTCAATATCAAAAGAGGCATTCATGAAACATATCGATTCAAATTCAATTAAATTACAAAACTCTAATTTGTAATTGAAAATTGTCCCACTCAGATAAGGACTTTACAAAAGTTGTTCGAATTCGGCCACAACAGAAAAGAGAATCCAAGACTGTTTGAAAGACTGACCAGATGAAATTTAACAACAATAACAAACCGAAGGCAAAGAACGACTTTAAAAAAAACACCCGAGAGAGAATAGTACCAAACCTTAAGCCAGAGTCCGTGTTGAGAAGAAGGACGACAGGCTTTGTATCCAGGACGTCCAGACTTGTAATCAACGAGGACTGGTCTACACTCGGGAGATCTAGGCAGAGAGGAATTTCAGAAGCTCCGAGCCATGGTTTATGACGCGTGCATCCCAGCTCCCTTGATCGGAACTCAAAATGTTTTGTTATTTAATGCCTTTCTATGAATTCCCATCTGATCCGATCCAACTTGGAAAAAAAATACACAAGTCCCGCGAGACGACTCGCCTAGTAGTAATTTAGGCAATGCAACAAAACAACTGTTCAATTTCCACTAGTTTTTATTTCAGTTATTTTGTATTTTATTAAATTTGAGTCTTACATGCTGGGGTGGACGGAGTCAGCGGCTCTACAAAGACATAGTCCACTATGACTTAAAGGCGACATGACCATGCTGCACATACCCACACACACCCGGCCTGTGGGGACGTGGACTCCGCAATAGGAATTAGCAAATCGCAACAACAGTCTAGTTTCTGTCGCCTGTGAATTTTTGAGTCACTCGTTTAAATAAAATGTAAGCCACGTGCAGCTGACACATGCGCAGATGAGTTTTTTTCACATTTTCCACCGCCACGGCTGTGATACCAGTATTTTGTAACTGCTCCACAATACCACCGACGCATTAGACTAGCTTACGACATCTGGTAGAGGAGATAGAATGTCGAATACGACTACGTTCGCCAGAGGCTAGAGAGAGACCAGAGAGAGGCTAGAGAGAGACCAGAGAGAGACTAGAGAGAGACCAGAGAGACCAGAGAGAGACCAGAGAGGCCAGAGAGAGACCAGAGAGGCCAGAGAGACGAGAGAGACCAGAGAGAGACCAAAGAGACCAGAGAGAGACCAGAGAGGCTAGAGACAGACCAGAGAGGCTAGAGAGAGACCAGAGAGAGACCAGAGAGGCTAGAGAGAGACCAGAGAGAGACTAGAGAGAGACCAGAGAGACCAGAGAGAGACCAGAGAGACCAGAGAGAGACCAGAGAGAGACCAAAGAGACCAGAGAGAGACCAGAGAGGCTAGAGAGAGACCAGAGAGAGACTAGAGAGGCCAGAGAGAGACTAGAGAGAGACCAGAGAGAGACCAGAGAGAGACCAGAGAGAGACCAGAGAGAGACCAGAGAGAGACCAGAGAGAGACCAGAGAGAGACCAGAGAGAGACCAGAGAGAGACCAGAGAGAGAGACCAGAGAGAGACTAGAGAGGCCAGAGAGAGACTAGAGAGAGACCAGAGAGAGACCAGAGAGAGACCAGAGAGAGACCAGTGAGAAAACAGTGGATTAGAATAGTTCTTTCAACCATAAACGTGCGCTCCTGAACCATGGGCGTCCCGCTGTAGCTGTTTCATGTCGGTGTAAATAAATTAATGAAAAGAATATGGTGTGAATTCCCCAAACGCAGACTCAGCTAATGAGCTCCACTGAGGATGGACTGGTTTCAGATCAGCACGCACCAGAAACGCACCAGAGAACCAGCTCAGCACGCACCATAAGACCAGCACATTCTGTAACACAGACATCATTTAGATCTGCAACTTTAACAAGAACATGATGCATTTCACTTTTGTGGGACCATCTACTGATCGAGATTGTGTATACAAGAGTCTACATGAGTTTCCTCTGAATGGCTCAATGTAGGATGGCAAATTTGGCCATTTGATCTCTAGTTTCTCTCTAGTCTCTCTCTGGTCTTTAATCTCTCTTTCTTATCTCCCCGGTCTCTTGCTCTCGTCTCTCTCGGGTCTTTTTGTCTGGTCTCTAGTCTCTCTATGGTCTCTGGCCTCTCTCTGGTCTCCCTGGTCTCTCGCTCTAGTCTCTCTCGGGTCTCTCCCCCTGGTCTCTAGTCTGGTCTCTTGTCTCTCTCTAGAGAGAGCAGAGCGAGACCAGAGAGAGAGACCAGAGAAAGGGACGGGAGAGAGGGACCAGAGAGAGAGACCAGAGAGAAAGAGACCAAACCTGTGCTTTCTCTACTGTTAATATTAAAGAATGAGAAGATGCACAGTTTTAATCGTAGCCACTTTAATAATAACATAGATTTAAATAACACCGTTTTGTAAAATATGTTTTTGTTGAGATGGATCAGAGCTGGTCTCTTCCTCTTTGCTCCAACTGCCTCGATTTCACGGATCTTCCAACCGAGGAAAAACCGACAGGAGAGAAGATAAACGAAAAGCCGGTGGTATTAATAGATTTATCACAGCTGCATTTGTGAACATACCCTGACCTAGCGCGCTAATGTATGCATCACAACAACACGCCGAGCCGCCGTAGCCAGGTAACCGCGGATCTGCGACGGAGACGGATCGCTCTCGCCGTGGTCGGGCACTTTTCTAATGCTAATGTTTAAATCATTTGCATTCGGCGCCGGTGCGAGAGGGACAGGGACCGCTTTCGAACACACAGAATTGAATTGGAAGGCGGCGCCGAGGGTTTAGCGCCTTCCGAGACTCTGATAATGCCACATTACACCTTCCATTTTTAGCTCCGGATCTGTCGCTCTGCCCCACACCTCGCTGTCACTGTCACACAGATGCTTTTAACACTGTCTCTAGTTTTGGGGGAGCGGATGTGGTTAAAGGAGACATTTCATGCCTTATTTTCTGCTGTTTGGAGACGGTCAAGTTTATTTATATCTAAAAGTGCTGTATATACAAACACAAACATTGACAAATATTATTTGAGGGAAAACATACAAAATATACTAAAACTCAATATATTAAAGCAGAGATAAAGAGTACATTTTAATTCTTTCCTTTTGTGTTTCGGGATGTGAAATAATATCTTCATTATAACAATCTACAGCCTCAGTCCTGGGTCTACAGCCTCAGTCCTGGGTCTACAGCCTCAGTCCTTGGTCTACAGCCTCAGTCCTGGGTCTGAGGCTGATCTAACCCTAACCCTGCCTGTCTGTGGGAGTGGATCTGTGTCTTTATATGGACCTCCCTGAGGTTCCTCAGTCATTTGTTCTAAAAAATCTTTTTAGTGATTCCTTGCTGATGCAGAAGGGTCAAAGGACAGTGATGATCCAAGACATTCATTCGGAAAAACAAAAATGAATTGGTTCACTTGTTGCAAAAAGGAGTCAAAAACCATCAATTGTTTTGTTATTTTTGTTTCATTTGAAAGACAAGTTAGATGAATTACCTTGTTTGCAAAAAATAGCAGAACGTGACTTTAGAGGCAATTTTTCCCCTAGTGACCCTGCCCAACACGTGTGAATGTGCCCGGAAGACGGACCAAAACACCAGGACTAGAGTAGACTATAAAACTCCTAAACTAGACTAAATGGAAATATCTAAACCAGGTGTACTTTTGCTTGTGTCCCAGGGGCCACCAAAGACATGGGGAAGATGTTGGGAGGAGAGGAGGAGAAGGACCCAGACGCCGCCAAGAAGGAGGAGGAGCGGCAGGAGGCGCTGAGGCAGCAGGAGGAGGAGCGGAAGGCCAAGTACGCTCGCATGGAGGCGGAGAGGGAGAACCTGCGCCAAGGCATCCGCGACAAGGTACCATCAGAGGTCTCCACTGTCACATGGTTTCCAGCTCTCTGGTTTCTGGTCTCTCTCTGGTCTCTAGCCTCTCTCTGGTCTCTCTCATTGGTCTTTCTCTTGTCTCTCTCTGGTCTCTAAGTCTCTCTCTGCTCTCTCGTCTCTCTCTGGTCTCTCTCTAGTCTCTAGTCTCTCTCTGGTCTCTCTCTTTGGTCTCTCTCTTGTCTCTCTCTGCTCTCTAGTCTCTCTCTGGTCTCTCTCTGGTTTCTGGCCTCTCTCTGGTTTCTGGTCTCTCTCTGGTCTCTCTCTTTGGTCTCTCTCTTTGCTCTCTCTCTAGTCTCTCTCTGGTCTCTCTCTGGTCTCTAGTCTCTCCTGTCTCTCTCTGGTTTCTGGCCTCTCTCTGGTCTCTAGTTTATTCTCTTACATCGTCGTTGGTTTGAAGGTTTCGGGACCTCAGCTTGAAACACATTGCAAAACCAAATGAACTGCTTGAATCCTGCTCCACACTCAGAGTATTATTACCGTTATAAAACCCTGATTACCTCGAATTCTTCTTATCCCTGAAATCTGGCCCTGAGTCAATTGATCGTGTTTTGCCAACGCACTCGTTCTCTCGCAGACAAAAGCTGACGGCTCGACGGGGGAAGGGCGCGTGTGTTTTCAGACGGATTATTGGATTAAATGAGGCTGAAATCAAGAAACATGGAACCGAAGCTAATTACATTCTCCACAAGCTTCACACACCTCAGTAACCAGACAGACACCGGCCCAAACATCTTCTTCACTTGTTTTGTGCTTCAAACTATGTAACAACATCGTCTATCCCTCCATTTCCTTCTGTTTTATCGCCGTGAAACAGGGTGAATAGCAATGAACAGACTACAGCTGAAGTCAGAATGATGGTGAATATACATAATATAATATATTATACAGTCGAACAACCGAACCCAACCACTGGCTCCTCTCCACGTGGAGGAGAAGCGGCTCTACTTTGAGCTCCTCCCGTGTGACTGAGCTCCTCTTCATCTCTAAGGGAGCGCTGGTACTAAAGTGTTCTCACTGACAGTGATTGATCAGAGTACTGCTGAAAGCCATGGTTACCAAGGAATTTCCTTGGATACCTGTTTTTTTGTGGGTAGCTTGCAAGGGTAAACTACCGGATACTATAGGGGAATGGAAACACCGGTAGAGGCGAATAGAGCAGAGCCGAGCCGAGCCGAGCAACTTCTATCATCTCCTGTTTAAGTAAAAGCTGCACATTGGTTGAATCTTGGAAACAGTCGTCTCTGCATCTTCATTCTCTCTGATGTTGGAGCCTGAAAATAGTCGAGCTCGTCAAGAATGTGATTCTGTTACACGGCTCTGGGACGAGAACTTTTCCATCTGCTCAGGAAGATAACATTATGTTTGCAGCTGACCGAGTGAGTTCCAGAGTGGACAGACATTTCTTTCATCTTCAGTTAAATGTATTTGTGTCGTCTCAAGCCGAGGAGTTTACAAAATTGTTGATTCAGCAACAACAGATCAAAAACAGGAAATGCAATAATATACATGATAAATGCAATAACAAACACAGCAGGTGGTCCATAAGGACGAGGATGACCACAGTCCAGAAAGGTTCAGTAATGTTCTGGATCGTCACTGTCCTGAGAGCCTCCTGCATCTGAGAGAAACCACTCAGAACCCAGAGAGAAAAGTGAGAAACTTCAGGGACTCATGTTTACATGTCAACAATGATGTATACTCTCAATACTCTCTTTCAATTCAATGCAATACCATTTATTCTTGTATAGCCCTAAATCACAACTGCATCATCTCAGAGACTTAACTCAGAGTTGGGCGGCACGGTGGCTTTCTGAGTGGAGTTTGCATGTTCTCCCCGTGTCTGCGTATGTTTCCTCCGGGGGCTCCGGTTTCCCCTACCACTAAAAACATGCTCACTAGGTAAAATCCTCCAGCTCCGGTAGTCCTGACCAAGCCGAGCATCAACTTCTGGAGATGGGTTCCTGGGCGCTGTTACTACGGCGACCACTACTCCTGATGTAAGCATTAGGGGCATCAGGATGGGTCAAATGCAGAGGACAAATTTTCCTACGGGGACAATATAGTGCACATTTATTTATTTAACAAAACCATTGAAGTCACCAACACAGATCAGAGAATCAACAGTTAAGACACAAAATATATACAACACATGTTGATAAATGTCATACATGTTGTAGAATGTTAAAGTGTCCTGGATCATCACAGTCCTAGACACTAACTGTCCAACAGACTCCTGCATCAGAGGGAAAACTCTGAAACCCAGTGGTAGAAAAGTGAGAAACCTCGGGGAGATAATTGAGAAAGGGATCCGCTCCCACAGATGGACGGGCTGGAGATCCAGGACCTAATCTACAGAACGAGGACCAAGGCCTCAAAAGGAGCCGTTGGTCCATGTCCTGGATCCTCTCAGACCCTCCGGTGTCTTCCATCCAGACCCTCCAGTCTCTTTGATCCAGACCCAGGACACAGAGCTTCTGTGGTTTGTGTTGTGTTCCTCGTCTCAGTCTCAGATGAAACATGTTTTGCGTGACTTTCTGCTGTTGTGTGCGTTGGCGTCAGCGCAGGAACACGGAGCGGGGAAATGTGGGCCCACAGTCGGCTCGGGCCAAGAATCTCTCTCCTGTTTGTGTCAGAGCAAGTGGGAGCCGGCAGCTGCTCCACTCTCATTACTTTCTCTGCTTTCACTTTTATAAATACTCATTTAGACTTCGTAATCAGGTCCTTTTCAAGTCCTGGTTCATCTGCAGACACCAAACACACTCAGAATTTCAGAACACACACAATGAGTGGTCCCAATCCACTGTGTTCTCCCTGTCTGTGTAGGTTTGCTCCAGGTGCTCCGGTTCTCCCACCGCCAGAGACAGAAATGTCGGATCTTGTTTCTATCTGATTAATTTCTGTTGTTTTTAATACAAAGAGAGAGCGTCATCTGTCACCTACAGTCTCTCTCCCTAAAACCTTCAAACAAGGTCAGAAATCTAGGGGTAATACTGGAATCAGACTTAAATTTTAATAGCCACATCAAATCAGTAACATCAGCAGCTTTTTACCATCTAAAAAACATTGCCAGGATCAAAAACATAGTGTCTAAAGCAGACTTGGAGATTCTTATCCATGCATTTGTCTCCAGTAGGTTAGACTACTGCAATGGCCTGCTCACAGGTCTGTCCAAACAGGCTGTAAAACAGCTGCAGTACATTCAAAATGCAGCAGCTCGAGTCCTGACTAGAACCAGGAAGTACGACCATATTAGTCCTGACTAGAACCAGGAAGTACGACCATATTAGTCCGGTCCTCAGGTCTCTGCACTGGCTTCCTGTGGCTCAGAGAATAGACTTTAAAACAGCTCTGCTTGTTACAAGTCTCTCCATGGCCTCGCACCAAAATATATTAGTGACATGTTAGTCCCATATGAACCAGCCCGGACTCTGAGGAGCACAGGGACTGGACTCCTGCTGGGACTCTGAGGAGCACAGGGACTGGACTCCTGCTGGGACTCTGAGGAGCACAGGGACTGGACTCCTGTTAGTGCCCAGAGTCAGAACTAAACATGGAGAGGCTGCTTTTCAGATTCATGCTGCTAAAATCTGGAACAGTCTTCCTGAAGATGTGAGACAGGCCTCCTCTCTGACAATGTTTAAAACCAGGTTAAAGACAGTTCTGTTTAGCTGTGCATACAACTGAGGGATTTTATATTTTTATCTTTCTTTTTAATGTTCTGTGATTATTTATGATTTTAATGCTTTCTTGTTTTGTTCAGCACTTTGAATTGCCTTGTGTATGAATTGTGCTATATAAATAAACTTGCCTTGCCTTGCCTTGCCTTACAATGGAATAGGAAAGTACATCCCTCTCTCTCTCTCACGCACACATGCACGCACACACACACACACACACAAGCACACGCACATGCACACGCACACACACACGCACACACACACACACACACACACACACACACACACACACACACACACACACACACACACACACACACACACACACACACACACACACACACACACACACACACACACACACACACACAGCATCATACCTGCTTGATATATGAGAGACCAATATAGGTTTGTCTTATCTCTGCCTTATCCCGGCCTCACTTTATAATCAGTTTGTGTGTTTGTGTGCGTTTATTTCTTTGTGTGTGTGTTTGTGTGCGTCTATTTGTGTGTGCATTGACGGCATCCAGAAGAATAATGACAAGTTAATATTTTCTTCGAGCCTGCTGTACTCTATTTACTTCTGTGACACTGACATTTCCACCGAGGGACAAAAAAAGGAATTTTTGTATCTATCGAGTTTATTTATTGAGTAACACTGTTCTTTCTCTCTCTTACTTACTTCATCATCTGAGTGTGTGTGTGTGTGTGTGTGTTTGTGTGCGTGTCTTTATGCGTGTGTTCGTGTGTGTGTCTATGTGCGTTTTGACATTACAGAATCAAGAAGGAAGAAGAAAATTACGTTTATGTTGTTCTGAGAGCCTGCTGTACTCTCTATATACTATACTACTGTGACACTGACAATGTGTGCTTCTTTGTGTGTGTGTGTGTGTGTGTGTGTGTGCGCGTCGGTGTGTGTTTACGTGTGCCTGTGTATATGCATCTGCAGTTTGGAATGAAGACTAAGTAGTTTATGTTTTTCAGCATGCCAATAAGGTTCTTATCTCTTTAGTAATCTTATGTCTGTTCTTTCCCTGCCTTTACTTTTTAATCTGTGTGTGTGCGTCTTTGTGTGTGTGTGTTTGTGTCTGTGCGTGCATCAACAGTGCGTCATCAAGAAGGTGGCTAAACATGAAGTGCCTACTATACCCTATATACTATTGTGATATAAATAAAGGTCCTTTTACGTAGTAACAGTTTTTTCTCTGCCTTACTTACCCTACAATATGTGTGTGTGTGTGTCTGTGTACCTGCTTGTGTGTGCCTATTTGCGTGTTCATCGACAACACATTATCAAGAAGGAGGAAATGTATGTTGTTTATGTGTCTCTGGTAATACTGTCCTTTCTCTGCCGTACTTTCTAATCTGTGTGTGTTTGTGTGTTTTTGTGTGTTTGTAATTGTGTGTGTGTCCATGGACAGTACGGCATCAAGAAGAAGGAGGAGAAGGAGGCGGAGGCGGCGGCGGCCATGGAGCAGGCCTCCGAGGGCAGCCTGACACGCCCCAAGAAGGCGGTGCCAGCCGGGTGTGGAGACGAAGAGGAGGAAGAGGAGAGCATCGTGGACACCGTCATGAAGTTCATCCCCACTCCCCTCATGGACATGTTCAGTAAAAAGTAAAAAACACAACCTCCCACCGCCGCGCGCACTGTCTCCTGCCGACCTGCGGGGGGAGCTCCGGAGCTGCCACAACGGAATCTTGAGTTAGAATGACTTGAACTGAGGGTGAGGTACTAGATCTAGAGGTGGGCTATCGTCACACACTGCAAAAAGGGACAAAAAATGTGTAAGAAATTGCTCAAATTTGGCTAAATGTATTTTCTCCAAAGGGACAAAGCAAAATGTTCTTGTTTTAAAAAGATACAGAAGTGTCTCCGTTGGAATGAGAAAATAAAGCAACAGTTCTTGAAATAATACTAAATGGCTTTGTCCCATTGGAGAATCTTGTTTTAAGACAATTCATACTCAAATTAAGATAAAAAAATGTATTTATCACCTCATATTTTGCACTTTTTACCTGTTTATCCAATTTGACAAAACTTTATTGCTAATTTCTGTGACACTAAAACATTTAAAAAAGAGAAGGAGACATGGATCTATATCATGTCTTTGTTCACACCTCAGCGTTAGCATCCTGTGGCTATCGTTTTGTTTTAACCTCAATATATCATATTTATATATTTGAGTTATTTTGAGCCGATTATTATTCTATTGATAATGGGCTTTTACTGGTTTTCTGCTATTACTTGGATCGAACCAAAACTGGACTAAAGGCTGAGTATTGTAGAGTGATTCACAGACTAAGATTTTTGAGAAATTATTGACTGGGAAAAGTCTCACAGATGTAAATGGGACCCTCATCCCAGTAGTCTACCCTAGAACTATGTGCCCTAGAACCTGGTACCACCAAGTCCAAATATTTGGCTTTCCAAGTAGCACCAGGTTTGAACCCAGTCGATTCCAATCACATTCAAAATGGGTTAGAAGACATCTTGAAAGTACCTAAACAAACCTCTAGTCAAAAAGATCTAAAACTACCAGAAAACCCTGAATTCAAGTCATTCCAAATCATCTGGGACATGTATTTCTCGCGTATCTCCTCCTGCGTTAAAAAGGGGAGTATGATTGTTCACTTCCAGACAGCTTTTTAAAAATGTTTTTACTTATCACAGGACGGCAGGGGACCCTCGGATTGTCTGTGTTTCCGGCATCATTTCAGATTAAGGGTTGAATTGGATTTAAAAGTTTGGGAAAGACATTGGTGATTGGTTCGATGCCGCTATTCCCCGTCCGTCCTGTGAAAAATACTGTATGTAATCGACTTTCACTCAACGCTCTTACCAAAGGGTTGCTTGAGCTGAGTTGAGCTTATCGATGCGCATCTAGTTGGTCTGTCGCATTAGCAAACACACTGCAGAAAGTGATGCAATATGCAGTAATAAATGCTTAAATCAAGTGGTTTTTATCTTCTGACTGTGGTAAGACCAGATTCTGCAACGAGACAAAGCCATTTAGTCTAATTTCTTGAGCTGTTGCTTTATTTTCTCATTCCACAGGAGACATTTCTGTATCTTTTTTTAAGCAAGACCAATTTGCTTCGTCCTGTTGACAAATCTTGTTTTTAGACTCAGTCAGAATGTGCTCAAATTCAGATTCGTTATGCCAAATGTTTAGCAATTTTTAACTTTTTTTTCATCACTTTTTGCAGTGCAGGCTTGTACAGTAGCTCCCTTCTTTACATTTTACCCGGATGAGGGACTTCTTTCTGCCTGTTTCTCTCTGTTCTGTGGAACCACGCAGGAACCAAAATGAATTTCGAGCAGGAAGCTGTGTGTGCGATAAGTTTGTTTAAACCACAGACGTATCGTAAGAAGCGGATTAGACACGACCCCCTGAGTCCTGTCTGCAGCCTCAGAGATCTCCCACTGAGACCAGTTTATTTTTAGAGCCATCAAACGTTGGGCTGTCAGCACCTACAGTGCTCGCTAAGGTCACATTTAAAAGAACATTTTCAGTAGTTTTGCTAAATTAACTATTGCCCTTACAGCCACCGAGCGCCTAAAAGTTAACATAGCAAGTTTCTCCCGGTTTAATTAGTCACATTTGGTTGTTGCCTCAAGCTGTGGCCTCTGACAAGGCAACTTTGAAACCACAAAAAAATCAGCAAGAAAACCAAGACAGACGAACTAAATACGCTCTAAAGCACCGCAATGTACTGTTTACTTTGTACTTTTATTCATTCAATTGTTTTTTTGCACAGATATGAACCAGTGAGCGGAGTTGCCTCCATCTCCATGAAAAATGTTTTTTGTTTCCTCAAAATCATGTAGAAATCCATCAGAATGTTTCTGTGTCCCATGTTTTGCTCTTTGCCACTTCCTCCAGACGAGAACTCACACGGTTTGAGTTTGTAAATACAAAAATTATACTAGGTTTTCTGTATATGGGCAAAACATGATGTATAATGATATTAGTAAAGATTATAAGCCATATTTTTAACTTGATGAAATTATCCAAATCATATCAGAATGTGATGATATTGCTGTTGCGTTGTTGCCAGTCCTGTTTGGTTTTTCGTTGGTGTCCGATGTTCTGAGTGTGCTTTTCCGGCGACTTCTCCACTAACGGACTCCTCTTGTGTCGTCGCATGCAGACAAACTCGTGAAAGTAGACTACAGCCGACGTATGTACGCTTTATTCACAGCCTCTAGGAGCCGGTGGAGCAATAACCGTTCCATTTTCTCTCTCTCAGACTCCCCAAAAAGCGCACACAGAGAATGTTCTTCCACTAAAGTCTGTCCAGGACGATCAATAAAAGTCATTGGGTTTTTCATCTGCTCTCATCAACCGGTGTGAAATCTTCATCCCGAGCGCGAACCAGACGTGGCGTTGGTGTAATTTGAAGGCGGGGGAAAGGGAGAGTCCTAGTGAGAGAGAGAGAGAGTTTGGCCTTGATCGGTCGCCGTTCGTCGTCAGCAATACAAGACAATCTCCGCCGTGTTTGGGAAGAGAAGCGCGGTGTTGCTGCAAAATGATTTTGTTGTTGTGATGGGGACTGGACCCTATGCCAATTAAAATGAACACAAGGGCTGTATAGCACAAGTCGATTCACAATTCGAAGCCGTTGATTCGCCGACACAGATCAAACAGATCAAACAGCTCAAACACTAGAAATGATCAAAATTACTTTTTTTGGGCTGGTGCTATGTGTAGCTCTGACTGCCACACCCCGACCAAGAAATTACGGGGAAGAAAATGGATGGATGGAATTGGTCCATAAGGGGCAGATGACCAATGTCCATACTTGTAAATAAAGTCCATAAATGTCGGTAAATGTCAAGTCTCTTAGATCATCACCACTGTCCTTAGACCCTCCAGCATCGGCAAGGAACAAGCAAACTTTCTTCTTGTGTTGTTGGCTTAAATCAATGCCTGACGATGAGAAATAGAGAACTACAAGCAAACAAACTTGTGTTTTATACATTGGCATATCGTCCACTCCTTCACAACTGTCAGTGTTTACATTACAATGTCTTAACTCTGCTCTGACCTAGAGCTGTAGCCCTTAGCACATGAGAAGTCCTCTTGGCTCGGGCGTCGTGTCCGCGATTACCTAAGCTCCAATCAATCACGTATTTCCCACTGCACAAAACTGCCCCTCTTTGAGTTTACACCTGCAGCCGTGTCGACCAGCCCTCACTAGCGCCACCACATGTCCAGGCTGCAGGCTGACACGGCAATGGCACAAAAGCTTCAGATGCCTTCAGACTTGTCAGGCTGCAGGCTGACACGGCAATGGCACAAAAGCTTCAGATGCCTTCAGACTTGTCAGGTCTCTCCTTCAGACATCAGAGAGACTATGGCTAGAGTGTGTTCTTCCCCCAATGTCCCAATTTGAGAAGGGTCAGCAGTAGATCATACACGGAATCGGGACGTAAGCGGAAGTAAATTATTAACAACTACCTAAACTAATATATCCATGCCTTAACTGAACCAGCCATTACCATAGAATAACCCCAACCCACCCCAACCCACCCTTAACCCTAACCTTAACCCTAACCTTAACCCTCTTACTCAGACACCTAATACTTAACCAGTCACCACTTCAGGACTTATTTGTCTAAAACTAATTAGAAAGTACGATTGTAACTTCTGCTCCCGTCCCAATTCCGTATATGATCTATTGCCTACCATTTGAGAAGCCAATATGTAATCCAAATTTTGAAGACGTTTTAGGGTATAGTCTCCTGTACTTAAAGGAAAGCCTTGCACGTCTTTCTGGCCAGGCTTTGTTCCACAGCGAGTTCTGAACATTCCATAAACTATAAACATTCCGCTGCCGAGGTGCCAATCAGACCCACTCCCATTGTGCTCAAGTCGAAGGATTCCCATCTCTTCTTTTCAGACGACTTGGGAGTGGATTTCTGTCACTGTTGGATGGGCACTGGCAGCACCTATCTCAGTGTTCCCAGTTGAAGAGCACATATATCGACACTTAAACGCTGAACGCATGTGCTGTGTCGTTCGCCAATGGAAAAAGAAGAAGAAAAAACACTGCCCAACCCTTCTCCCAAGAGGTGAACCAAAGAGCTAGTCCTCACCTCATGTTTTTCCATCGTCAGACCATTTTAGACGTTCTCAGGTTTTATACGTAGGCTTCAGAGGGACTTCCCTGTCCGAGACATACTGTTCCCTCGAGGCAAAAAAACCCAAACTTCCATTCTCAAATATCAACGTCCTCCACGAATCAAGAGATGGTGAGATCTGGGCATCCTGGAGATAGGTCCGTGTGTCCATCCTGTATGTTTTACTATAGATTTTCGCTGTCAACGTCAAACGCACTGCGAAATGCTGGGGTTGCATTCATGTGGTCCACGGCTTTCAGCAAGGACACATTTGGTTGTGCTGGAAAGTCTTGATTCAAATAGTCCAAAGTGAATTGTAAGGCTGCAGTCTGGGCAGATACTACAGTCTAAGAATATGCGACCGCAAAATGGGTTTTAACTCATATTAAAAATGGCTATAATTCTAAAAAATCTTGATCAAGTGGACTGATAATCAGGTAAAAAACAGACTTATAGGAATTGGTATCATTTGGTAGAGCATTTGTCTTTGAACCT